CTGTTTAAGAGATCTAACTATAATAATTTCTCATTTTGAGGACAGGAAATCACAGGCAACCGGAAGTGAATTTTAAAAAAAATAGTTGATGTTACTGTAGACATTTGCAGTCTGAAATAACATATCCAAAACAGTTGCAAACACTTTATCTATAAAAAATATATATTGGAAAAAAAATATTCAAATTATTTAGTTTTTCTCTTATAACCGGAAGTTGTCATTTTTGTTTCCGGTGGAGCTGATATATTTTGAAACTACAAATAAAGCACTATAATGTGATGCAATAAACGTTCCATAAAAGAAAAGATGAAATTTCCGATTTTTTGACCACTTCCTGTGACGACCGGAAGTGACGGCGGACAATCTTAACCCAAATGTTTTTCTCTTTTCGTCAAGATATAATACTCCTAAAAGTTTGGTGTCTACATCTCTTACCGTTTCAGAGATATAGCTATAAGAACTATTCATTTTGAGGACAGGAAATCACGCGACCGGAAGTGAATTTTCCAAAGATATTTGTCGTTACTGTAGTCATTTGCAGTCTGAATAACACTTCTAAAAATCATTTCGAAAACTTCATCTATAAAAAATATTGATGGGAAAGAAAAATACTGAAAATATGCAGTTTTTCTCTAATAACCGGAAGTTGTCGTTTTTGTTTCCGGTGGGACTGACATATTTCGAAACTACGAGTAAAATGCTATAATCTGATGCTAAAAAACTTTCAAAAAAGAAAAGTTGAAATTTTCGATATTTAAGAACACTTCCTGTGACGACCGGAAGTGACGGCGGACAATCTTAACCCAAATGGATTTGCCTACTTATCAAGATCTATCATCCCTGTAAATTTGGTGCCTTAATCTCTTACCGTTTCTGAGATCTCACTCGGATTAAATATTTTTGAAAAAAGCGGAAATCGGACATATCTGACGACCGGAAGTGAATTTTGAAAAAATGAAAAAAAACGTCTCGGGGTATTTTCATTCTTCATCATCCCTGAAAATTTCAGGAAAATCCGTCCAGCCATCTCTGAGAAATCCTGCCGACAAGATTTGGGGAAAAAAATAATAAGAATAATAATAAGAACTAGAAACTCTTTTTGCTACAGCAACAAAAACGGTCTTCCGTTCTCCTCTATTTTCTGTATGAATGAGCTTTTATCTATGTTAAAAAAAGGCACATAATATTTACAACGATTACAGGAAAACAAACGGCCGGAGGTATAACTTATCAAGATTCTCGACGTTACTTTAGACAATTATAGTCTTCATAACACTTATAAAAATCATTTTAATCACTTTCTGTGACGACCGGAAGTGACGGTGAACGCATTTTACCCTATGTCTGTTGCACAATCTTCTTGGTAAGTAAAGTGTCTTGATCTGTAACAGTTTAAAAGATCTCTAATGTTAACATCTCATTTTGAGAACAAGAAATCACGTGTCCGGAAGTAAATTTAAAAAAAGATATTTGAGGTTATTCTAGACATTTGCAGTCTGAATAACATGTCCTAAAATCATTTCAAATACTCTTTTTATAAAAGATATTTATGGAATAGTATGATACTCAATTTATGCAGTTTTTCTTTCATAACCGGAAGTTGTCGTTTTTGTTTCCAGTGGGACTGACATATTTCGAAACTACAAATAAGATGCTATAAGGTAATACTAAGAAAGGTTCCATAAAGAAAAGTTAAAAATTTTGATTTATTTGATCACTTCCTGTGACAACCGGAAGTGACGGCGGACGATCTTAAACTCAATGGATTTGTCTACTTATCAAGGTCTACCATCCCTATTAGTTTGGTGTCTTATTCTCTTACAGTTTACGAGATCTAGCTATGATAACTTCTAATTTTGAGGACAGGAAATCACGCGACCGGAAGTGAAATTTATAAAGATATTTGATGTTACGGTAGACATTTGCAGTCTAAATAACATATCCAAAAATCATTCCAAATACTTTATCTATAAAAAATATTTAAGGGAAAGAAAAATGCTCAAATTCTGTACTTTTTCTCTCATAACCGGAAGTTGCCATTTTTGGTTCCGGTGGGACTGACATATTTCAACACTACAAGTAAAATGCTATCATGTGACACAAAAAAAGTTTCAAATAAGAAAAGTTGAAATTTTCGATATATATAAACACTTCCTGTGACAACCGGAAGTGACGACGGACAATCTTAACCCAAATGGATTTGCCTACTTATCAAGATCTATCAGCCCTGTAAGTTTGGTGCCTTAATCTGTTACCGTTTCTGAGATCTCACTCGGATTAAATATTTTTGAAAAAAGCGGAAATCGGACATATCTGACGACCGGAAGTGAATTTTAAAAAAATGAAAAAAATGTCTCGGGATATTTTCATTCTCTATCATCCCTGAAAATTTCAAGAAAATCCGTCCAGCCATCTCTGAGAAATCCTGCCGACAAGATTTGGGGAAAAAAATAATAATAAGAATAATAATAAGAAAAAACAGTAGAATCACTATAAGGTCTTCCGTCTGAAACGGAAGACCTTAAAAAACAGTAGAATCACTATAAGGTCTTCCGTCTGAAACGGAAGACCTTAAAAAAAACAACAAACAAACAAACAAACAAACAAACAAACAAACTGTCAATGTTTATTAATTGCTAATGCATCATGTTGGGATGAAAATATTAGAATTCCACTGCTCGTAAGGTGTGAGCTAGAGCCTATATATATATTCCCGCCAGGGTTATTTCCCCTCGGTATCGCATACGGAACGCATTGTTTTTACTGATGCTAGTGATTTTGATGGGGGTGGAGTGATGTTAGATTCGACTAAGAAAGTTTTGCATGTTATGTGGGCCGAACCAGAGAGAGTTCGAAGTTCAACTTTTAGAGAACTTAAAACAGTTGAAATGTTTGTGAAAATTTTTGGGTTTTTTTTTTTAGAAAATAAAACTTGTAAAACTACATATACACATTCAAAACATGTTACATGTAGAATTTCGCAGATCGGCACAATGAATTCGGATTTATTATCTTTTGTTTTTACTACATTCATTTTTTCTGTAGGTTGGGTTTCACGAGAGCAAAAAGTGGAAGCAAACTTTGTCGCTTGGGGCATAAGCAATTATATTGTTGCATTTTTCAATAAGGTTTGGGGACGTTATATTTGCGATATCTCTTTGCGTATTGAAAAAATGTCCAAAAAAAAAAAAAATAAAAAAAAAAAAAATAAATAAATAAATAAATAAATAATTTTTTCTTTGTTTAGGATCCATGGAACAAGCGCATTCGACGCATTTTCTTTCGACTGGTCACAGGATTTGGATTGTTCCTCCCATTTATTAATTTGATAGGGAGGTCACTAAAACATTTACATGTATTAAATTACGGTTCTACAGTGTATATGGTGCCTTAATCGTTCCGAAATGGAATTCAGCAGCTTTTTGGTCTTCTTTGATCGACAAAAAATGAAAGTTCTTGTGGTTTGTGAAAGATATGAGTATATAAAAAAAAAAAGTTCATGTTCTGATAAAAATAACGTATTTGCTGCTAACATTTAGTAATTTTATAGCACCGCAACTGGATGCTTCGTAATTAAGTCATTGTAACACCATACAGATGTATTTATATACTGAAAGGAAAAAGAAACGCATAATAGCATAATATCGAAATATATTTAACTGTATGGCCGAAAATTATGAAAATTTGTCGAATGTGTATTTTGATTACTGTGCACTAAAATTGCTGGTCAAAGTTACTCAACCATGAAATGTATTGCGTCACGTAGGGGAAATGATAAAAAGCCAAAAACACGTGCATGTTGATGATGACAATTTTATGATCACATTTTGTGGTGCTAATCGATGCATTGGAGTTATAGACATCGTTTTCCGCATTTGAAATCAGTATAAATTTCGTGCAATCATGGTATGGCTGACGGAAGTTACACTGGTTCCAGTAATTGAATTGCGTAAGTGAAGAAAAAGGCAACAAGATGTTGCTGTGCAGTTTGTTTTAAACTTTTCAACAAAAAAAGGTTTTTCAGTTGTCAGAGAGTAAATTAAAAGGTTTCCAACCAACGATGGCGGTGACGTTGACGCGTAACAACGTCACATCAAGACAGGGCTTTTCATCATGTCACCTCGGTTGTTGTCAAGGTGTTATCACTGAAACCGATATTTTTACAGTATACTATCATACCAATATTTTCACCCTAAAATTGACAGAAATTCTCTGCTCTAATTTGGTCCGCGAGCTTGGCAACTTTTACGTTGATTTTACTCTCACGCGCGCACGTACGCGTCGTGTGCGTAATGTTTTTAGCATGTTCACACTCGGAAAATGTAGCCAGTGTTTGTCGAGACTTTCTCACAAACATTCACGTGTACCAAACCAGCTGGATTCTGTAAATTCTATCCTAAAATGAAAATTCGTGGCACTCATTTGGCGGGGGGATTTGTTGGCTTTGGAATAATACAGCTTCTATCAACCATTAAGACTATTGTCGGAAGCGTTGAATAATAATCAAATGAGAAAGATAAATGCTCTGGTGACCTCAATGCACAGGAAAATCAAGGCTGTTACCAATGTGCAAGGGAGATGATGAGAATTTTTATTTTAATTTTGGGGGGTATCGACATATCAATTTCAATAACTCAGGAATTATCAGTCAAAGTCACACAAGGTTTTGGTAACTTGTAGATTAAAGATGAATTAAAATGTTTATAACAATACTGGAAAACATTTTCGAAATAATAGTTTTAATTTAATCTAAAAGTAAAATATGCGTTTCTTTTTCCTTTCAGTGTTCATTTGCATGTTTTGATAGTGAAATATGGACATAATAGTACACAAAGGTTGACTGCTAACCAGTGTACAATGTGCATGCATACATAAATGAAATGAGTGGATGACTGCTATCCAATAAGGAGTAAGAGTATTTACAAATTAATCAGTAATGCTATAGCACTGGGATTGGATGCTTCGTAATTAAGTCACTTTAACACTACACTGTATATTGATATGTTCATTTGCATGCTTTGATCGTGAAATATGGACAGAATAGTACACAAAGGTTGACTGTTAACCAGTGTACAATGTGCATGCATACTGAAATGAAATGATTGGATGACTGTTATCCAATAAGGAGGACTGCTCTCCTAGATTTGAATGATTGCAATACTAATGTAAGATTATAATCTAACATTCTCGTTCTGAAAATCATATACTAGTATTTTGACGACTGATTTTTAATCATGGAGGACTGCTCTCCTATTTATGATGTTGAACACTATATTTATATGTTCATTTGCATGCTTTGATCGTGAAATATGAACAGAATAGTACACAAAGGTTGACTGTTAACCAGTGTACAATATGCTTGCATACTGAAATGAAATGATTGGATGACTGTTATCCAATAAGGAGGACTGCTCTCCTAGATTTGAATGATTACAATACTAATATAAGATTATAATCTAACATGCTGGTTCTGAAAATCATATACTAGTATTTTGATGACTGATTTTTAATCATGGAGGACTGCTCTCCAATTTATGATTTTGATGAAAAAGTTGCTTGTAAATATGTGTGATATAATATCGTGGCTATTATTGGTTACTGTACAAATTTGGTTCGAATTTTAATGTGCTTTCATGTTAATATATATTTCAGACATTGAAGAATTATCAAGGCCAATGGATAAATATTGACAAGTTTAAAGTCGATTTTCCTTTTAGCTACATAGTGGAGTCTTTGCCGCATATCGTGAGAAATACAAAATCTCAATCAACGAACAAGATCTACGACATATATTTCTCTAAATTCAGAGACTGGTGTTCGAAGCATTCATTTACGCATCCTCCTGCATCAGTGTCTACTGTTGCTCTTTTTGTGGGAGGTTTGGTGCGACAGAGGGTATCAACGTCGCTTCTGGAAGCGTATTTCTACAGTATAAGTCGGACTCATGAATTTTCTTCAAACTTGTACCCATGCGAGGATAAGTTCCTTTGTGATGTGTTTATTGTGTTTTTATGGTATGAAATATTTGATTATGTGATATCAATTGGGAAAGTGCTCACATCGAAATTGATATTCCCAGAAGCAAAACGGATATCTACAGGAGAGGAAATTCGGTGATATACGCAAAAACTGGAAACGATTTGTGCCCTGTGTTTTGGTTAAACATCGTCATGTCTGAGATGGATGTCTTCCAATGATTACATGTTTACAGATGTAAATTTTGTAAATCCCTCAATAAATGCAAAGTTTCAAATAAACTCAAACCTCTGTCATATACAAGAGCTAGGAAAATATTGTCTTCTTTAAATGAAATTGGCCTTGACAGTTTTGAATATGCTTTACACAGTTTACGTAGCGGCGGAGTTACAGCCGCTGCTAATGATAATGTGTTTGTTCGATTGCTTAATGTGTTTGTTCGATTGCTTAAAATACATGGTCGGTGGGTCACGGATAAAGCCAAAGACGGTTATATAAAAGCCAATCTTGAACATAAATTTCTGGTTTCAATGAATCTTGGATTATAAAATTATTTTAATTTATTGCACCTACTGTCCTTTGTTTAATGCGATTTGTAACGAACGCAACAATCCTACAGTATATTCTTTTTCTTTGTTTTTCAATAAATTAGTCAAGAAAATATTTATTTGCGGAGGAGTGAAACGAGGGAGAAAATAAATTTATTTCTTTACGTTTTTACTTCGGTATTCTCCGTGAAACTTCGTATCTTAAGAAACTGGTTTTTCATGCACGAGCGATTTAGCGCTCACTATAAATACTTTTACCAGGGAATGTTCGATTAATGCGACGTTCGTTACAAAGAATCGCAGGTTGTTTTGTGTCTTTGGTTTTCCCTGCCCTCCCAGCCCTTGCATTGTTTATCGTGTAAAATTTATTACATGTAGTTTGATTTGTATGTTTTGAATAAAAATGCGATTTGTAACGAACGCAACAATCCTACAGTATATTCTTTTTCTTTGTTTTACAATAAATTAGTCAAGAAAATATTTATTTGCGGAGGAGTGAAACGAGGGAGAAAATAACGATGGCACTTGTCACCGCGATCTTACTCCGGCGTCAGACCTTCTAATGTCACGACTATCCTACCTTCACCTACGACACAACCTATGATATCTGCTATAAGACGTACGCGGAACCGGAAGTTAACGTTCAGGGCGCTGACGCTGTGTGTAAGGCTCATGGGGCACAGCTGATACGCATCAACAGGCCTGCCATATACGACTTCGTCGTGAAACAGATTAGTATGTTTCATTTTGAAGTCAAGGATACAATATCATTTAGCGTTTAATTTTTCCTTCTTTTCAGTTGTCAAATACAATTGATACCTCTACAACTAACAAATTGTGCAATTGATTAAATCACACTCTATAACGCGTTATCAGCTACTCGGTTGTTATCGGACACTCGGTTGATAAAAATTTTTGACAGGTTAGTATATTATTTTTAATAAACTCTGTTAAAATAGAAACAGAGAATATTCATTGTGCTTTTTGTAAACAGAAATGAATACGGATACAAAATAAAGCCTCAATACGTACTAGTATAGCATTTGTTAGCCTTTGGAGGCTTTAAAAGTCAAATTTATTAGATTTTGCAAGTTTTTCTCCGATTGGCATTGCTGTAATTAGCTTTTTTTTCTTCAAAATCCTTATGTTTACCTTGCGTTAATGATTGTCCACAAGAAGACTTTCTCATATAATCTTGCAAATATGTAATTAAAGGGCAAAAATTGCCCAATTTTAACTTTCAGTATGTTATCGGAAATACGGTTGAATAATGCACTTTGTTATCGGATAACTCGGTTTTGGTTATCGGAAAGAAAGGTTGTCATAAATTAAGGAAAAACGCAAAGAAACGACAGAAATCCGTGTGAAATCTAAATATTTAACGTGGCTGGCGAAAAATTCTAATTTTTGGCTATAATTTGCCTCCTTAAGAATATGTAACTTTTCATAAATGAGTGTTTTTTGGCATTTCTCACTAAAATCTGCATGATCTTGACCTGTTTGAAAATATGGTATAAGTTTTAAATTTCGTTTCAAGGTACCGAGGTCGCCTGCTTGACGCAGTGGTTAGAGTCGCCAAGTTAGGAGTCGATCCCTACCTCGCGGGTCCGTATCCCACAGTGGGACGTCGCAGTAGGTGCCAGCACAAAAAAGATCCCTCACTGCTCAATGGCCCTAGGTGCTAAACATTACATTGAAGCTCTCCGCCGGCAAGTGATGGCGTCTCCATATGTCTGAAAAATTCTCAGGAGGGAGTTTTAAACAACATACAATCAAGTTGCTGAACGCATGGCGAAGGAACAGTTGCTACCCATTTTGATCGACTTAGGTCAGTCGCCGCTGAGTTTCAAACTCACAATCTTTTGAACGCGAATACATTTATCAGTTTGGTATAAGTATATGCAAAACAATTTAAACTCAAGCGTAGTTGAATGAATTTCCAAATAGGTAGTTAGACCAAAATATACCACATAAAATTCAAAAGTCTGACTTTACAAAAATTTCAAAATCGTAAATACGGATCTCTAAAACATTGGAGGTTTTATAAGGTACCAAGAAGGAATAAGAACCCACTGATGACCAGTCCTCAAATTCAATGTGTACATAACGCTAATGCTCCGATGGAGGGGGGGGGGGCTGAGGTGGATTTTGCATTGCAATAAGGTGTTCATACTGAAGCAAAAAATTTCTGCCACCCCCCCCCCCCCCCTTGTAATTGAAAACGCAAATAACTGTGGAAAAAGTTAAACATACGAGGAACTGAAGTGAATCAACCAGCACCTCTCCTCCTAAATAGGTATTTTTAACGGTTGGAAAATAAGTTATGTACTTTTTTTATTCAAGATTTTCTAACACAATAGAATTCCAGTCGGCTCCCTTATCTTTATTCTTTTTTTAAATCATTTTTTCTGAACCAAGCTTTTTGTTAAAGGATAGTCTCTTTAATCTACTACATATCCAAATTACATTGTATAAAAAGAATTAAGAATTATTATTTATCTTTAATGTGGAGAGCTGTCTGATTGACACAAGATCACATGATCAAGTATTTAAAAGTCCTATAAACTGGATAATTCTATTTTAAGCTTCTAAAAATATGTTAACGTTCTTCTGCGGAGCAACATAAGTACGGTACTGACGTCACAACCACAGGCAATAGTTTCATATACGGGGCATCCCTTCTTAAGCCACACCTGCTATATATCTGTTACTGTGACGTGATAATACGACTGACATTACTGGACAAAAAAAAAGTTCCCCGGGGATCATGGGAGAAAATGAAATTGATTTTTTATCTCTCAAAAATAACGTAATACTTGTAAACTATATCGGAGGACTAAAGCAAAATTGTTATGATTAATTAAACATGATATATTTACGTTTGAAACTGCCTGAAGCGGTCTCCGCGAGGTTATCTTGAATGGAAAACAAGAAAAATGGTTAAACAGATGAGTAGTTCCATTATCAATTTATAAATAATAATCTTATTTATATACATTTATATCAAAACAAACTTTAACGTTTGCTATTTTCAAAGATTGGCAGATTATAATTGAATTTTCCAATCTATTTATGAAGCTAAAGGAAACTTTTTAACCTGAGTTTCCGATAACGTACACCCGTCAAAACCATTTTATCCGGCAACATCAACCGTGTTGACGATAATATGTTTTCAACTAACGAGACATTTTAAAAGAATGTTTACTAACACTTAATTTGGATTTTTAATCTCAGTTTGCTGATCTAAAGGTATCTGATTGTCCATAGAATAAATAGATCAGTTTGTTTGATAGAATAAACTAATTTTCAATTCTACAGAAGTTGAAATGTGATGACACAGTCCGAAATTTTTGTAAAATAACTTTTGAAAGAGCTGAAGAACTTTTGAAAGATAGTTATTTGGTTTGTGCTTTCTGCTGCCGAAAGTATAATTAATTATCTGTCAAAGATCACACACTTTATATGCTGAAATACAAATTCATCGTTGAAATATGAAATTTAAAATAACCCACATTTTCTAAACATTGCTTTTCTTGTATCGAGTGTCCGACAACCACCGAGTAGCCGATAACGCGTTGAGCAGTGTGGAAATATGTATTTTTAAAATGCTTTTAAAATATTGTTTGCCTTAAATCTTAATATGTATGCAAATGATAGCTTGATAATTAAATAATGACTTAACAAAATCTAGATTTCTCCTCTCGTTTCAAGGACGATATATGTTCTATAAAGAGTTTACATGAATGGATACACACTAAGACATACTGGTACTATTTAATTGTAACATTGACATATTACTGATGGTCCTGATAATAAATGGAAATATTTCGTGTTAGGAAAAAGACCTTTTTAAAATGATAATAATAATATTTTTGAAAGTTACAAGTCCTTTGCAAAAAAAAAAAAAAAAAAGAGAAATCTGGTTTTTATGTACATTTCATCAATAACTAGAATTTCATGAACATTTATGTACAAGTATCATTTTAACACAGGCAAAGCATTATGGATTTTCATTGTCAAGAAGGACAATTTCTCTCAAGAATCAGTAACTGTATACATAATATTAAATATACACTAAGATTAAAGGGATATGGACACAGTGTCAGCTAAAACATTCAAATTTATATTTTCCATTTTTTTTGTTTGCACATACTAGCCTAATGTATTTCTTATGAACCTCAGAAATTAGATATCAGTTACATGTATCGAGACACAAGATAGATATAGATTTCCAAACCTCTTTTATGTTAACACGGTCGTCGCCAAGTATTTGTTTACTTAGGTTGAATATACTAAAATATGTTTGATCAAAGCAGATTTTTTTTTCAATAAAGAAATCAATTTTAAGTACTATTAGAATATTTGTAATGATTTGCTTAAGCCCATTTTGTCGTAAATGTAATATTTTCTATAGGTAAACAAAAGCAAGACATGAAGAGATTTGTTTACATTATCAGTTGAAACTGTGCCCATGTCCCTTTAAATTTATGATAGAATTATCATGGTAAAGAAATATGACCTGCCAAAATTAAACATGTTTTAAAGACTTTAATGCTTAAGCGAATTGCCCCGAAATTTGACATCTGCATTACATTTTTAATCGTACAGCTGTTATGGGTCCTATCAGCATCAAAATGAACATGGTGTTTTTCTGCTTAAATTCTTTATTTGGATATTTTAAAAATGCCTTTTAAATTAATATTTCATATCAGAATGGCATCAGTAACATATATTTCCAGGGAAAGAGGGCCATTTCAGGGGGCCCATTCTTGTACGATGATGGAAGTCCCGTAACGTATTTCAAATGACTACCCGGGGAACCATTATACGACTCTGATCTATACCCCAGGACCAACACCAACACTTAACAGATGAAAACCTCTGGTGGTGACATAGATCTATCTTTCATATGTGCAGTCTATCCCTAATTAGGATGTTTTATTGTTATTTATTAAAAATGTTAAGATAAATCAGACATGTTTGCATTTTTGTGCATTTTAGCCAGAACCATTATATTTTCACTTTATCCCTCTTTGTTTGTCTCTAAAATTTAATGCAGAAAAAAACGCTTTGGTTTATTTTTAATAATGGAACTTATGAATAGAAATCAGTTGGTGTATATATCCAGCAAATGAGAGCAACACAGGGATCATCGTTACTTGTATGTCGGACATGCCATTCTTTTGAATCGTACTAGGTAGATTTTCAAACATAAACGCGTGCTCCATTGGCATTTGTAAAATACTCTTTGTTTCGCATATCGTGCTTGCAGGTGTCACAACAGTATTAATTTCTGCTATATATTCTTACCAAAAATGCGCAAGTTTGAGTAGATGTAACTAATTCAAAACAAACTTCTGAGAAGTTTCCTTTTCAGATCTTGTAAAACCATTCTTTATAAAGATTTTAGTACCAAAAAATACATAGCCATCCAGC